CATCCAGGTTATCCAGTTCATGCAGTAGAGCATTATGATCCACAAGATCAAATCCCTTAGAGAAGTCAGAAAAAAACAACCTGACATACATCTCACCACGGTCAATCGTCTCCAAAATTGTGTGAAGTAAATATACCAATGCCTGCGTGGTAGATCTTCCTGGGAGAGCAAACTGTTTACTGTCCAACTTGCTCCAGACACAGGTGAGCAGGGACTTAGCTGTGAAGCCTTCCAGTACTTCGGCTATTGGTGAAGTTAATGACACTGGTCTTAAGTCACTTTCAACAGATCTTGGGGGGTGGCACTTCGGGACAGGGACCACAACAGCGTGTTTCAGTTGTGCTGGAACATAACCCTGTTCAAGTGAGGAGTTGTATAACTCAGCAAGCACAGGAGAAAGTTCAAAAGCAAACTCTTTCCAAACAATATTCGGGATCTGCTCAGGACCTGATGATTTCTTTACCTTTAATGCTCGTAGGGTCTTATAAACTGTACACTCTGAGACATACAGGTGCATAGGCACCGGCCCAAATACCGGTAAAAGAGGCTCTAATGGACGAAAGTGTACCGTTAGGCTACCAAGAAACTCGTTAAACTTTAATGCTAGTGTAGCTTCATCAGGTATGTCACTCCCAATCAGCTGAGATGACCAATCACCAGAGACCGAAAGGCCACCCAAATCTTTGATATCCTTCCACCATCGAGAAATATTTGAGCCTTGTAGACCAGATACTTTGTTCTCATAAAAACGTTTCTTATGAATTGATGCATCACAACTCGCTATCGTAGCCGGGGCGAATTTCAGCGTCTGTTTCTTAGAAAACACACTACTGCATAGCTTTCTGATATTCTGATAAGTAGCCTTAGCCATATTTGTTAATGGAAATTCGAATAAGTGAAAAAAGATTGACTTACCTTGTGGAAACAGTAACCGTAATGCCAAAATATCGAACGCCCTTACCACGAGTAATTTAACTGCACGTCTAAGATACCAGTTCCCAGCGGTCAAAAAATTTCACATGAGATCGAGGCCATGTGTGCTACGCAGCCAGCCAGTCCAAGATGGCGTCCAAACCATGAAATTTTATGGCATCGGAAAATCGCGGGACATAAACCCGCGGGAATGACCCGATTAGTATGCGTTCTCCTATCGTCGAACGCAAAAAGAAATGTAAAACGGTTTCTCTTCTCGCCGGCATTTTTCTTTCCTCCACTCTCTAAACACTTCGAAATTGTATCAAAAGATACTTTAGGAAAATTTCTCAATGATTTTGACCATTCAAAATTTCCTTGTGTGAAGAAACAAGAGCAACATCCATCATGACTCTCACAACAGAAGCAAGATGTATTTCACCGCTGACAGGAATGGCTGCAACTCATGCGTACATTAATTTTTTTTCGTTCTGGCTAAATAACTTATACACTGAGATAAAAAGTGACAGAGTGATTTATTAGGTTCCTCTCATGTTGAAGTCTACAGTGCTTGCAAACGAAGCCATCTTTTATTAATACAGGGCCATGTAGTTTCTAAGTTTTAAAATAATGCAGCAACTGCATGTTACGTTTGGAAAATCACGCAAGTTGTGTGACGCTGCGACCGATGTTTATCATTTACAGTATGCTCCGCGAGAGAAATATGGCTTAGCCGCAATCGAGGGAGTTTTTTTCCTGGAAAACTGATTTTCTAAGTAATCTTTCACATGAAGGACAAATCCATTCCTCGGGCTCTTGATCTATTTTTATACAACACCTAAAGGAAGAAAGTGGCGGATTAATTTTGCTTAGTAATTTCTAACAACTCCACTAAACCTAAAAAAGGAAAAAACAAAACAAACAAACAAAAAACGTCTTATTAGTCAAACCAGTGGCAGTAGCTCTCGCATTGAATCATGTCAAAGTACCTCGACTGTTTGCAATGATATCACAACCAATCTTCGAACAGTTTTCGGCTGTAACAACAAAGAGTAAATTATAAAACTTCTTCTAAAATTAATGAAGGCTGTTCATCACATGACGCTGTATTGGAACGAGTATATCTCGTTTGCTATTGTATCACACTACTGTTTTAGACAAGGTATTTATACTACTTAAATTTAAGAAAGTAGAACATAAATCACATTTTCTGTGAAGTACACGAGCCATCTTAACCTCCAACAGCTTTCCAGGCATCATCTGTAAAAAACCTCTTCAATTTTTTCAAATTAGAAAATTTTCAGCTAAAACCGTGGCTCCCAAAATATATCTCTCACCTTGCCTAAAAAATGTTCAAAAGAAATTTTCAAATTTTCACAACTTTGCCTATTCCTGCTCGTAGGTCCAGCCAAGCCCTTATGGTCATTGGCCCCCGCAATAGCCGTCAACAATGGCTTATAAATATAGGCGTTTAGTGTTAACTTGTAAAACTCTCTGAGGAAGTTTACGACAGTTAGACGGAACGCATCAGAGAATAAAGAAGTTTTACAACTACTGTTCGCACAGCGCTGCTCACTAGTTTAGTTTTTATTTTTTTAAAAACTGTTTAAAAAAATTTTAGGAGATTATTGAAAAAAAATTAATAAACGTTTGAGTCGGAGCTATTCCTGTCAGCGGTGAAATACAGGAATGGCTCCAGTCTCTGGTCGTCCACCTGAACTGACTAAATGAGTTTAGTCAGCGGAGCTAGTCAGCAGATGACTTTTTCATCGCCGGAATATCGCTGAACGACCTCGCTGAACAAGAAAGGCTGCCTTCCCTTCGCTACGTAAGTAACCATTTCTTGTTTGACACATCGGTGTTTTCACTTGCATTGATATTTCATTGTTCCGCTTCGAGACACGCGGTTAACAATACTCACGAGCAAGGAGTTAAGATATATCTTATTAACTTTTACTATTTTTGTCATCCAATTACTGGTCGGAGCCATTATTGTATTTAGTCGCTAGTTATGGATCGTGAAGCCGCCATTTTGGATATACTCAGCGACCACGCAATATTGGCCCCTCCTCTCCCCTCCCTCTTAACCTACCGTTATGGCTGAGTGATTGGGTGGGGAAGAGAGAGTTAGGATGTTTCAAGGCTGACGTTTTTCAAGGACGTTAAAAATCGTGTTAATGACTTTTTAATAAACCCTTTTTAGAGGCATAGAATTGTACGCCAGCGTACTCGTTCGACTCTTACTTTATTTTTGTTTTTGAAAATCTGACCACCGGTTGGCCATAGGGCAGGCCATAGATGAGTAGGCCACAGGGTAGGCCAAGGCCTACCCCACGTTTTGTCCACACCCCCTACAGGGTTGTCTGCCTGTGATTTGTCTATGTAACAGTGTGCCAAGCAATACCGCCCGATTGCTTCTCAAATGCAATAACGTTAATACTTGATTAATACAGATTAACCTTCTCTGCGTCTGGAAATATGTCGATTTCACTTTATGATCGACCGCCGTTGTTTGACGTGTACATGCATTTCTTACTACACAGTGTTACCTGAAGTTGATGAAAGTAACCGTAAACAAATTCACCGTCGCAGATAGCTTTAACTTCAGACAGCTTAATAGTTCTTCAATGTCATTGCGTTGAGACTGTGTAAGTAAGTCACCTTTTGGTAAGTAGAGATGGCTATCGATTAAGATGATGATGTTATTTGCATCGAGCACTTAAAAATGTAATAGTTAAACTATTAATTATAGTAAAAGCAGCATGTGTCGGCAAGTCTTCTACGGAGGTGAAAACTCAGAGCAGATTCTTCACTTGAATTAGGATCCTTGACAAAACAAAGGGGTAACTGTTCTTCATAGCTCAAACTACCCAGGCTGCTTCTGAGAAGAGGTATGGCTTTGATAATGCCAAGATCTGATTGTGACTGCATGAAACAGTCATATGCCTGATTTCCCCCCATCACACATGACATGAAGGCTGGAATCCAGCTTGATTGCATGATTGTAAAAGGTAAGGGCAGGTAAGGTGAGAACCTTGAGTGTTTTGGTGACTAGGTTACCCACTATTGAAAAGTGGTTTTGGCATGAATTTGCAACAGAAGCAGGCCTTTCTGTGGTATGTCCTCTTTCTTGAGTTGTCTTGTGTGGAACACTGGGTTGTGGTGTAATAAGCTGTTCCAAATTTCTAGTTGTCATATTTCCCCCATGATGGGACTTATAAAAGTCTGAATACCTAGAAGCATGTATTTCTGGCTGGCTTTTGGGCTGTTCGTGACTATTGTGGCTGTCTGCAATGTTGCTACTGGAATAATACTATATAATGTCTTAATTGAAGGAATCACCTAACTCATTTACTGATGTTGGAAAAGGATCATTGCTCCATCAACTGGATGGGCAACTGCTTTGGCTGGGAGACTTGATGCCATATGGATTGTCACACTAGCTTTACCAGTTGGTTCTGTAAGTACATTCTTAACATGAAAATCATCAGTGAGATGGATAACAAGTTTTTTGGTCTGAAAAAAAAAATCATATCAATTTTATTGATTGCTTATGTTTTTAAAAAGTGTTTATGTTTATTGGTCATTGCATTTGTTCTGCTTTATCTTGTAGGCTGTCAGCACAGTTTTGTCCACAATATCTTCATCGTTGTTTTTCCTGTTGTTGTTTAAACATGTCATTCATACATATTCCACTGCTAAAGCCCAAGACTCTCCTTGCAGTCTGTGCAGACCTGGTTAACCCATGAATATCAAGGAATATTTCAGCTTATTTTTGGAGATGTGATGTTTTCTGGGATCTGAGGGAAATTGCATATCATTCCTGTTATCATACTCAAGAACCAAGGTTGTTTTGTACCAATGACTGCTGACACTGTCCGAATAAAGCGGACATGAAAATTTTGCAAATTATATGGAATACAATAATTTTTTTATTCTTCGAATGGCAAAACTTTAGGCAGGTACGTTGTAATTTGAAGTAAATACTTAAAGTAAGGCAAAATGTGAAGTAGTCATGAATGTGAAAACAATCTTGCAATAATGATCACTTCTTGAGCAGTAGTGAAAATAGGGCTGGAAAAAAATTCAGGCCTGTACAGGATTTGAACCTATGACCTCTGCAATACCAGTGCAGCACTCTACCAACTAAGCTAACAAGCCAACTGGGAGCTGGTCATTATGTTGGTTCCAAGTAAACCCGTGAATGAACGACTGTGAATATATGAAAGTCATATATTTGAACTGTGGATAAAGACGTGAATATGAAAGTAATCTTCGCAGTTATGAACACTACTTGAGCTGTAGTGAAAATACGCCTACTGCTCAAGTAGTGTTCATTACTGCAAAGAGGCTTGTTATCAACCAGGGACGCTGTGGTGCACAAATTGTTTGAAAAACACTGACAAAACATTTGCCTTGAGGACTACTTATAAAAGCCAGTAAGGAAAAAAAAACTTCCAATAGTTATATTTAAAGGCTTTTATATCTTACTGGATATTCAAGGTTTACATACTTTACCATTTACATGGTAAACAATAAAGCAAATGATGACATAATTATCACCTTTTTCCATGATCAATAACTTAATTAAGATCAGTAACTTAAAAATATTCATACAAAATGGGGCTGGAGTGCCATGCAAAATTCAGTCAGCGTGCCAAGCAGATTCGACAGATGGTCAATGTGATTAACAAGCTATGACAGTTAAATGTCTGCTGCAAAACTTACTACTACTCACGGTTTCATAGCTCAACAGGGAGAGTCAGGAAATTGGTGCACAGACTGGTCCACCCAATTTCTCAACACTAACCATGGTAAGTACCTTACTTATGCCTGGACATGATCTAAGAAAGGTAACCAATCCACTATATTGCTAATAATCATAGATATGCTATGATTGCACCTGCAAGGTCAAACATCTCCAGGACAACATCAATCAAGTAATAATATAAATACTGATAAAGGTTCTGCACTATGCTCATATTTTACAAGTAAACACATGTTCATTGTTGAAAATATTTCTATATAACTCACAGAGTGGTCAAATATATTATTATTGCATTTTCTATATAATCTTGAAGCGCTGGTGGAAAAATTTCACTCAGCCTTGTACAGGCACTATGAGAGTGGGGGTCTATCTCTATACAGATCTGCTGATATACAGGCATTTTGTGAGACTTGTGCACCACATCTCCTTCACATTCTCATCAGTACAATAGTGAGTGCAGATGGACATGCCACCAGAGAGGTATTCACATGTACAGCAGCAAAGAATAGTTGCACTACTCCACATAAACGACTGTGAATAAATGAAAGTCATTTATTTCAACTGCTGATAAAGATATGAATATGAAAACAATCTTTGCAGCAATGAAAATAAGGCCTAAAAAAAATCTAAGTAGTGCTACTGCTTAAGAAGTGTTCATTATTGCAAAGATCGCTTTCATATTGATGTCTTTATCACAGTTCAAATATATGACTTTCATATATGCACAGTCATTTACTGAGGTCATAGGTTCAAATCCCCTTCAGGCCTAAATTTTTTTGATCGTCAGTAAATTAAATCTCAAATTTAAATTTTTTGGTCTATTTCCGTGTTTTGTTCGCACTTTGATCATCAAAATATCCTCATCCAAAGGGCCATGAAACTGCACGAGTATCCACAGAGTTAGAAATGGTGGAAACTTGTCATACTCTTTCATTCCTTTCCAAAAAATGTGACAGAAAGGAGTCGATCGCCCATCGTCGAAATGGCAACTTTACTTCTGATGTGGACCTACTATATTTTAAGATAAAAGATAAATAAATGTAAAATAAGATAAATAAACCAAGGGTTAAGTCTTAAATAAGAAACAGAATGAACATAAATATAAATGTGTCATAATATATCAGAAATAGTAGAAATTTGAATTCTTATTACAAACAACAGAGCCACCCCCCTTTCCAAAATTTTTCTTTACAACATTATTTTTTGCCTTTTTAAGCCTCTTTTTAAAAGTAATTGGATTGGAAAAGTATCTCAAATTATCCAGTAATGAATTCCATGCAATTGCTGCCCTGTGTGCAAAAGAACCATGGCCAAGTTCAGTATTAGATCTATCAATCAAAATAATTTGCGATTTTCTAAGATCATAACTAGAAGAGCTCTTAACAACCAAGGAATTTACTTCATTTAAGCCCAAGCCATAAAATGCCGTGTGATTAATAGTTACAATACGAAACTTATAGAAATACTCAAAAGGCATCCACCCAACTCTTGCCAATACATCATCATCCTTCATACATTTTGGTAACTTATGTATGAGTCTAGCAGTTCTAATATGTATCACTTCTAGTTCTTTAAGCTTGGTGCCAGACCCCCATATCACAATTCCATATATAAGACACTTGGGATTACTTTCTTAAAGTAAATAGTTTCAAAAATGGATTTGGGCAGAAAACTTATACGTCTCAGCATTTTAACTTTCATTGAAAGGAAGAACAAGTTAGTTTGATATGCTGAGACCAGGATAATTTGTCGCCCCACTTCAGAGGTTTCATAGGACCTATGAAGGGTTTAGTGCTCAAAATCATCACTTCGGATTTACCTTCGTGGACAACCAGTCTGTTCTAAGACTCCAGGAATTAACCTGGCTTAAGACTTGTTGTAAAATTATGACAATATCGTCAACAGAATTCCCTATAACATAGATTGTAGCATCGTCTGCATACACATATAATTCCCTACTGGTCACGTGATTCGGTAGGCATTAACATAAGTAGCAAACAGTCTAGGGCCAAGCAAAGATCCTTGAGGAACTCTAACTCCAACAGGTCTTAGACCTGATCTAACGGTATTAACTTGAGTCCTTTGCATACGGTTGGTGAGAACATCGCACACTTCCTCTTCGAAAATTTGCTAATCACATCAGGAACAACAACAAAGGTTCTCAGCCGCTTGAAGATACCACTGACTAGCATGCGGATTATCCAACACGATCTCTCTCTCAAAAGGAAGATAATCATCACTTGCAATATGTCCTCAAATGAAGTACTATACTTTATTTTAGTTTGACCGTGATTTCAATAGATAGACTGGGAATTGATATGTGGATAATCCGCACCCCGGCGTTTCTAACATGATGAAAGTAATGTTTATCGCTACTTCTGAATTGGCCCTAAAATAATGCATAACATTATTTCACGGCTTGTGTGAGACCTTCGGGACTCGAAGTTTGGGAACAAGTATACAGGAGAGATAAAATGGCGGCTTACGGCGGCGAAGGGAATGTCAGTAGTTTAGTATTTTAGCGTTAAAAGGCTTGGGTGTTGTGATCTAGTTCTCAAGTAAAAAAGATCACTATCTGCAATCAGGCTCTACCACCTTTTGAAAAACAAGAAAACATTGAAACGGTGATGAGAAAGCAGCAAGTTTCGAAGTCTAAACGAAAGATGGGTAAGCTGAGTTTCAGTCAAATATCATGACGTTTGGGATTTAATTTCGACACCAAATAAATAGCTTTACATGGCTATACACTCGGACGATTCTGTTGTGTTCACAAGAAGGCCATCTCAGCTATTTCTGCCACTTGTAAGTTTTAGGAAGTAAAAATATGCATACTTGTGTCGTATTGAAGCCTTGTGAGATCGCAATTATGATTTATTTCTATGTTTTAGGTAGTCATTATCCATTATTTTTGGAAGTCGATGTTGATGAGAAAGAAAAAATGTTTACGGTTATTTCTTCTCTCGAACATGCATTTTACTATTAGGGTACCAAATAATCTTGATACTGAAGATCATTGTATCCTTTTATGAAAAGTTTGCCCCTGATTGCTTTGTCAACTTGAATGTATGATGTAATATAGCTTGTGATTTGTGGGATTTTCACAAGTAAACTAGAAATACCTGAAGATGGTAATGGTGTACTTAATGCAAAGCATTTTGGTACAAAGTCTGCTTCGCTGTAATCTACCTGAAGGTGCTTTTAATATGCTAGTAAGACTTACACAGCTCAGTTAATGTTTTTGAGTAGTAGACAAGCTGGCTGTAGTAGTTATAGGTGGCAGAGGCCAAACCTCTTCCTGAAAAGCAGTCTGAAAAGTATGAAGTGAGCAGAAGGTACTTCATTGTAGGCGGCCAAATCACAGGCTTTCAGCCCATTTTGAGTGTGCAGTAAAACTCCAGATTGGCTATTTTAACTAGTTTTATTGAGAACCAAACCCTGCAAGGCTTATATTCTGTTTTAGTTTGAAATGTAACTTTTATGTTTCTTATTTTGCAGTAAGTTGGCTTGTTATGGCCATTTTCCTCTCGAACATTTTTTTCAGCCCAGTCAAAATGTTTTTGAGAAGTAGGCAAGCTGGCTATAGTAATAGGAGGTAGAGGCCAAACCCTGTCCAGACTAGAAGTCTAACAAGTATGAAGTAAGCCACAGATATTTTTTTGTAGACAGCCAAATCCCCGGCAGCTGGCACATTTTGACTTGTCTATTTGTTGTTTAGCCACTAAGTAATCTTATTATAAAGATTACTGCATTCCTTTCTAATAATTTGCCACTGATTGTATGCTGTATATAGCTTGTGATTTGTGTGATTTTCACAAGTAAATTTAAAAAAATACCTAAAGATGGTAATGATGTACTAGATGATGTACTTGATGTGAAGCAATTTTTGGTACAAAATGTATGCCTTGTCTGTAATTCAAATAATATACATCAGCTGGAACAGGAATATTAAAAGAAAAATAATAATATTTATCTATACCAAGCCTATGTCCAAATTAAGTACTTAATCACTTATTAATCAATTACTATTGATCTATTTTATTTATCATTGTTTTATTGAGTTATAATTTATTGATCTCTTTCAATAGTGCAGGTTCGCACATGTAACCTGGTTCAAATAATCTGATTGGCTGTACAAGACTAAAGCTGTCAAAAGTGTCAAACCATCAAAGTTCAAAATCCATCAAAGTTCACATTCTGCGATAGTTTACAAACTGAAATAGTCGGCAGGTCGAATTTAACACTTTTGCCTGAAGTTTTTAAGTCTCTACTCAAGAAGTCTTGAGTAGTTAAGTCTCTACTCAAGAAGTGGGAAGAAACACTCGACTACGTCTCGTGTTTCTTCCTACACTTCTTTCGTGCTCTAGCCGCTTCCTGCGTGCTTTATAACAGAACA